TTTGACCAATTTAATGCATCCTTGCTGAATAAAGGTATTAATTTCTTTTTCTTTTTTAAATGCTAGTGTGTGCTGCATGACTAACAATAGTGATCTTGGTGTTGTTTCATGTCTTAATGCAGGGATCCATCATTCGTCCCCCTCGACCAATGAGAAGACCGATAACCTACAGGAGGGACCTCTGCCGAACCACCCGGTGGAGATGCACTCGCACCTTCCCAAGATGCCCCTGAGCGGCGTCTGGCAGTGACCGGGGGTCAAAGGTCACGCATCAAACCAGCACTACCTGAAGGAAAACGCAATCTTTCTCCTTAAGCACTTACTTCACAAGAGCAATATCCCGTGTGTGGGTTTTCCGAGAGGGTGTTTTTTTCCTTTTCATTCCGTTTCTAATTTATTAAGTTGAATGGCATTAGCTTTCTCTCGTCCTGAAGCCACACAGGATAAAGATGTAAAGAAAAAGAGATGGTACGTAAAAATGCAGACGCGTTCACCTCAATAGACTCGGCCAGTTACCTGTGGAGTTTAAGATCATCTCTGTTTATTTGTTTGTATGTTTGTGTCTGTAAATGGATATGAGTGAGTGTGTGTGTGTGCGATATCTTTGTCAATACACTACAGACTCTGGCTGTGTTCAGAATAAGCATACTATCATACTGCGTCTTCTATTTCTGCAGTATGCATGCAGAAAATACACCAGAAGGCTTACAAGGAGTACACTGTCCCACATGCAACGGGCTCCACATTTCCAGTATGATGAAGGACTTGCATTTGACATCTGGATTAATAATTATTGGACTACAAAAATACTTTTTAAACTAAAAATGCAAGATTATTTATTTCTGAAATCGCATGCTTTGTGGTAAAATGCATGCAAAGTTGTGAGGTCATGTGACCCCAATGTTGCATACTGATTGGATGTTCTTTTGCATACTTTTTGCATGTTTAAAATGCTGTTTTTAATATGCAATTCTCGCAGTATGCCAGTATTCAATTCTAAACATAGTGTCTGCATCTGAAATCTCATTCTATATGGTAAGCGAAAAACAAGAGTAGGGGCCTGTTCAAATACCCACACACACACACACACACACTTGTGATCTCGGCCACTTGAGAGCGTGTGCACGTCACAGGAAGTAAGTGTGCAAGACTGTCACAGGTTAAACTCACACTAAAAACATGTTTTTTAGCGGTTGGGAAGTAATTAGCCTACTTATTAAAGAAACTCTGAAATCACATACTCTCCTGAGTAGTTTCCTATTTTGAATAAGTACTTCACGCTACCGCTATAAAATATGTTCTATATAGTATGAGTGTGTGTAGTATGAATGTAGTGCATTTGCCGTGTTGTCATTATCATGTGATCTACTAGCGTCAGTTGCGTTCGCTTCACTGTCATTCATAAATCCTCTCCTGTGGCCTCATGGGATAGTAATGTGTCGATCGTATTCTACACTTCAGAATCCCACTGGAAGGAGAAGGTCATCCGGAGACTCTTTTATGAGGACTGTGAATTCAGACATACTTCTTAAGTCACACAGTGTTTTTCGCCGACTATACTGTTGGAAAGTTTGTGATTTGGGGACACACTAGTGGTTCGGAAAGCCCTGTCCTGCTGACTGGAATTAGACTGCCACCTAGTGGTTCATCTTACGCATAACCATTCCTAACCATTATGAGTAGCTGTGGGATTATTTTTTTTGTTTTGTTTTGTTTTTTTGTAGGTTGTGAACATGACATTCAGGTTTATTGTGCGTGTTAATATTTAAGCAGAGATCTCAGAACAGTAAATTATTTTTCTTGCACTTTTCCCAGCTCAAATTATGCTGCGTAATTCCCTGGTACGACTGGAGCTTAAGGACGTTTCTTCCTACACTAGTTTACTTTATTGAGTGTTAATAATTTACCTGCTGGTGGGTATTTATAGTATCTGTTGTCGTGTACTACTGAGGCTCCGTTTCGTCCTGACTGAACGCTCGACCAACGGACCCATAATGCAGTTGCGGGGTCACCATAGCATTCCCTGTGGCTCTAATAAATTCAGTTTTAACACAGTGTTTTACATTGGGAGAATTAAGCAGATATTTATTTGTAGTTGTCACATATTGAAAAAAATGCTTTGTTGGATTGTTTTTTATAGCGTGAACTGATCCTGGTACAGCAATACAGTGTGTAAGTGTGAAACTGCACATTTCTGACTGATTGTGTTTGTACTTTTGTAAATCAAACCTCACACCAGCCCCTCTGGTTATGCTTTGTAGTTGGTTTATAAAAAAAGATCAATAAATATCATAACAAAGTTCTTTAGTTCAATTGTGTCATAATTAAAGTGTATTAATATTGGACTTATAATATTTAGATTAAGTGTATATTATTAATAAAGGCATGATAATTATAACGGTACATCAAATCAAATTAAATGTCTTCAGTTTAGTTGGCATGTTATTGTACCTAAATAATATTTTTTTAGGTTTTAAATCCTGTTGCTGTTTTTCTCTGTTGTGCTGGAATAAAGTCAGTCGGCGGGATAAGATGAATAAAGTCTTATTGTTCCTAAACGTTTTTCATTTGTGTTCTGGTAACGAAGGTGAGCTGGTATGGCAAGCCGTTTTAACTTTTATTCATTCACAGGAGAGGAATTCTTGATATCAACAATTAAATTTTCAACCAGTTAAAATTCTAATTCTTGATATCAGAAATTTGATTTCTATTATATACTAGTCAAAATGTGAATCCTTGATATCAGCAATAAACTATCAGCAAATAGAACAGAAATTTGCACTAGAAACCAACAGTTATGATTTTTACTAGCAAGAATTATAGGTTTTAGTTGAAATTTGATTCTTCATACCAAGAATTCGCCTTTTTCTGTGAGTGATGATGTTATTATTGATATAAAGAATTCACATAGTGGAAATGTTACTTGCAGAAATCTAATTTTAACTAGTGAAAATGTAGCTAATTGATGGTATCAATAATTCATTTCCTGGGATTAATTAAATAAAAGTAAACCCGGCTTGCCATAGAGCTGGAGCTGCAGTTCCTTCAGTGAACACTGAGCGGCGCCAGATACTCACGCCACCGCGTCGGAAACCAGCGAGTTACAAGGCGAACTATGATGTTTGGCAATGTTTACATGTGTGATTTTATTAAGTTATGACTGTAGAGAAAAGATATTCTGAGATAGTCACGTCCAAATACAAAGTTTCCGCCAACCTCATTTAAAATCATTTGAGATCATGATCATTTTAAAAAAAAATATATAATAATGCGTCATAAAAAAAAGAATAAGCTATAGGCTAATTTTTATTATTATTATTGTTATTTGTTCTTAAAAACGCAACGCACATCAGTCATTATGAGTGTCTAATCAAAACCAACTGATGAGACGTGATTGTATTTTACGCAGGCTACTCTAAGTTCATATCTGTTTATTTTGCATTATTAAATTATCAGATTCTAGCACGTGACGTCATCTTTAGCTCATACAGGCTTTAATAGCGTTGATATGTGCGCATGTAAAACGCTTACCTATAACGACGTGGGGTTTGTTACTTTGTTTGTTAGTTGTTATTATTATAGCTAACCTATTAGTAGTATTAATGTTAGTGTTATTATCAACCCACCTCCCTCAGAAACAGTCCATATGCAAGTCAAATGAGACTTTATTACCTCAAAGTAAACGGTCAGTAGATACAAACACATGCTCAATTAAATAATAATACAACAAAAGAGAAACAAACCGATCGAGTTGATTCGATCCTGAAATTATAAATATAGATTCAAAGTGCGACTCTGATAGACTTCAAAGCACAAATCAAACTCGATGATAAATAGAGTTCCAAGACAATCCTATGTACAATTTCACTTTGCATTGAGAAGAGTTCAGATTCACTGTCATAGATATCAACTGCACGAGGAAAATAAGACCAATGGACAGAAATCTCCGAATGATGCGTGCATTTCAAAATCAAGGAGCACAAAATTAAACTGGCAAATACAGAGTTATAAGACAATTGTGCGGCTGTTGAGAAATAAAATCCTTGATTTTCTTATTTAGCTAATAAAGTGCCTCAATAGACATGGAGAATCTGTATATGGCAAATGTAGCGCAAATATGAAGGTTCGGCAGTGTATTACGAGGTTATTTTCATCACTGTATCCATAAAGAACACCTGAGAGAGACCTTCTGCTGATTTACAGTCAAATATGAGAAAACAAAGTTAACATAGATCGATTAAACCCACTGGCCTTTTGCATGATTTAGTCCATTGCGCTTCCACATGTGACGCTACTCAAAACAAAGGCTGTTCTGGTTCTTTGGAGACATTATAGTTCACCAAAAAAACGCAATAAGAACCACTTCTGCAGGTTTCTTGAGTTTACTCTAATAAAATAAAGGTTCTGGTGGTTCCATGTCCTCCTGGGACGCAGGAATAGTGAATTTCTGTGACACCACACGCCAGCTTTAAGTCTGGATGTCCTGTAAAGAGCGCAGGGCTTTACAGAGATATCACATGTTTGAAGGTTTCACCATCACAACAACTTCTCCTTGGTCTTTAAAAATGACTGACATTAATTTAGTGATCAAATTTAGCAATTGTTTGTCTATAAATCAACATTTCAAGAAAATGTTATGGGGTTTCTAATCAAAATATGACTTTCTGTTACAAAACAGGGTTGATTTCACACATGTCCACTGTAGAGACACCGGGCATTCTGGGAGACACAACAAGTGTATTATATAATATTCCTATAAAATAGATATTATTATGAAAATGTTGCCTATTATTACGCTTCTTTTTTCATTACATGTCGCATCAAGAATACAATGCAAATTAGATAAAGTGTATTGAATGGGACTATGCAGTTATGGCCATTTCACTTATTGCATAAAGCAAAAATGGTGTATAAATTCATTCCGTTATATTTTTCATAACGTAGGTGAGAATCATCTTTATACAAAGTTAAAATTGTTGAATGAAAAAAATCCCATTGTTTTTGCCATGAGCTTTCATTTTATGTCTTGCCACTACAGAGGACATAGCATAAAATAAGAATAAAAAACAATTAAAATCTTTTTCTTATGCTCTAAACAATGTAATGACATGAAAAAATACTAAATTCAAAAAACTTTTCCTGGGTCTCAGGAGGATGAACCTTTACAGTGGAAAAACATGTTTTGTAGAGTTTAAAATTGGCTCTTTTAAGAAGAACATTTTGGAACCTTTTTTCAAAAGAATGATATGTTTCTTTGGATATCATTTCTTCAGGTCAGTGTTTCGGGGTTCTTTAATAACCAATATACCAATTTCGAATGAATTTGACAGTAAAGAGTTGGTTTTTTAAACATGTTTTGGCTGTAATTGGAACGTTTATCTTTAAGAGCGCGTGTGTATGGTTGTTTTCAGAGGCCGTTCTGCACGGGTTCTGTGGTGTGGATGATTTCCGGGGACTGGCAGGCTGGGCTGCCCGGTACACTCTGTTCGCTGTCGGTATCGCTGCCCTTTTTAACCCCGGTTGACCCGGGCTCGCAGGCGCTGTGTGTTTTCACGTGTTTACTGAGATGGTCGCTGCGCATGAAGCGCTTGTTGCACACCGGACAGGCGAACCTCTTTTCCCCGGTGTGTGTGCGTAAATGCCGCTGGAGCTCGTCGGACCTGGTGAAGCGCTTCCCACAGAACAGCCAGTTACAGACGAACGGCCTCTCGCCGGTGTGCCAGCGCAAATGCGCTTTGAGGTGAGAAGTCTTTCCGTATACTTTCCCGCAGCCCGGGATGTGGCAACTGTGGAGGCCCTTCCTGCGCAGACTGGCCCCCGCGGGCCCTAACCTCTCCGCCTCGTGGCAGTTCGGACAGTCGCAGGTGGCTCTGCCCGAGTAGCGCCTGGTGGATGAGCGTGGTGACCCGGCAAGCGGTAACACCGGGGACCCGGATAAAACTGCGCTTGTGGCACCGGGACTGGTTTCTGGGTAGGTAGCGGATAAAACCGGTTTGAATCCGTCCATCAGGTGCTGCCCACCAGTAAGAAGATGCGGAGATGGACTGGTACTGAATGCGGAGTGAGTTATGGAGGAATAGTCTGAGTTGTACCCGCTCAGGGGCGAATGTAAAGAGGTCTGGAGCGCGGCGCCGTTCGCGCTTTGAACATCAATCCAGCCGGTGCCCATATCCCACCAGGAGGACCCGCTACCGGTGCCCACGTCCCCGGCGGAGATGCCACCATGCGCGGATTTGAACCAAGTCTCATACGGGTGCGCGACGCTCATCCTCGGGTAAATCCCCTGCAGAGTGTCCACTTTCGAGATGAACACCGACTGCGCGCTCGGGTCCGGGGAACTGTTCGCGACTGAAGTCTGAAACACGGGATAATCGTTTCCAAACGGACTGGTGGATGTGTTCGAGCCCGCCAGGGAGAACGAGCTGTTGGCGCTGAATGTCTCGTTCCGTTGCGCTCCGAACGGGGAGAGAGAACAGCTGCTGGGCGCCGCGCGCTTCCACGGGTGAAAACCTCCTTTTCCAAACGAGCCGCTGTCCGAGGAGGGACTCGAGCTCCCGATTTTGTTACAGGTTGCTGCTAACATGGCCAGTGGAGTGGATCCAACCCTCGGTTCCTCCTGGGACCATTCAAAAACACATGGTTTACGAGACAAATCAAGAACCTTGCCACATGGTCAATTTACAGCATAATATATACTCTGAATTTGTCTAAAAACAGAGTTGCAATGCAGCCCATTCTACACATATTTTGATGCAATAAACTTTTCAGAGTACGATAATAATAATAATCCAATCAAAATATAACCTTTTTCTTGCGATAATTTAAGCATTGTTCTTCGAAAGCAACGAGCTGCAATAGTTTAAAAGTAGCACAATATTCTTGCATTAAACTTTTCAGAATCTGCTATTCTTTTCATTAAATTAACATTATTTTTTTTTAATTCAGTTTGAGTTCATTCAAACCACCCGAGGACCCAGAAACAAAAACACCAATCTGAAGAGCATATCCCGAAACATCAAGAACTGTTCAATCTCAGGAAATGAATTTTTTTTTTGTGCTTATTTTGTAAACAGGACGGTCTTTAAAGAAGTATCAAGCAAATATTCGTTTCAATAAACAGTTTAAGAACTTTAGGATATCCTATAGTGCAATCCGAATGTAACTTTCATTACGCAAGATTACGCACAAGATTACTAATGTAACCGTACATCAAATAAACTTTATATAGCTAATCTTAGATTGCTGTCATTTCAGTTGAAAATCGCAGACACTCTAAATATTGAAGGACACGAGAGATGTAGCCACACTCACCCCAAGAAGTGAAGTTGCCATCACCTGTGAAAGGTCCGCACATTTATAAGTCTCTCGGCTGTTTTGGAGACTTTTACCGCCCACCGCTGCACAAATGCGTTCGGCTCGAGCTTTGAAGATCCACCAGGTCACGCTCGACCAATCAGATCAGCGGAAACTCTTGGGACTGCTGCGTTCGGTGATGATGTCATCGGCGGAGCTCTCGGTGACGTGTTGCGCTGGGAATTGTTTACAAGTGGGAAGGGCGGGCGGGTGAACCTTTCGTGGACCTTTTTTTAGGCTAATTGTTGGGGATACCCATGTAAGGATAACTAATATTTGATGCTAATGAGATGCATGTGGGGGTTTCTTCATATTTTATTTCGCTGCGCAAAATTCAACACTAATATGAAATGGATATTAAACAGTGCAGGATTAATTTTTGTAAGATGTGTGTTTTTATGAGGGCGTGGCGGGGTTGAAGTGGGAGTTGCGCGTGCTGGAGCAGCAGCGTCCCAGTTCACACACTAGAGGAGATGAACTTCATGCACGAGCTCAATCCTCTTTCATCTCATTCACGCGCGCTCGATCCACAGGCATTCCTGCACTGATCTCACTCACTCCTGCTTATGGGAAACACCGCTTGAAATGATCGACAGTGCATTAAATCACAAGTGTTGCAACATATTTAAAGTGCAACGGATGCAAAAAGTCTAAGATACCAGTTGGGTAATGCGTCTATTTTGGACGCTATTCTTTTCAAATTATACAATTTGAGAAGAAATGAATTTGAGAATGGTTCTATTTGGTTTGCTTTAATTACAGCAGAACTTGAGAATCACTGCATGATTTGAGGTCATAAAGAGCATTTTGGGTTTCAATGGAAGCAAGAAAACCAAAGCAGTTGGTCACAGATTTACTTAATTTGATTGGTTTTCTAGAAATATTTTTTTGTTAAAACTTTTTTTTGCTTTAACTTTTAACTTTTATTTTATATTTAAATGTTTTCAAAATTAGATTTTGAATCCCAGATATGCAGTGGACAGGAAACGAAATGCGCAAAAGTGATATAGCCTATAACAGTAACAGTGTTTCACGCGCGCGCTCGGAGGGAAACACATCATCATGCAGTGCACGTGCGCATCATGCGTTTAATTTGACTTTCAAATTTAATAAAGAGGTGAGCTTTAATCACACGTGATTTTATTTGTTTGATATTAATGTTCGATCATTACAGGGCAGCGGGGGGAAAGTTAAATACAAATCAGGCGCGGGATCAATTCAGTTTTCAGGTCAGAATTATAATAACTCATTTGGTTTTATATAGGCTAATATAATCAGACATAGCTACTATTTTAGTAAAGGTTCATCTTAATTTGCTCATCTTTATTTACACTTCTAATTGATTGTTTAATTTTCTCTTACAGTGTTTTTAATCTCTGGAAATGCGACCTACATTGATAAAAATTAATTAACGAAATAGTTTTCATATGGAAAATTTGCTTTATTATACACTTGTATTTTAAGTAGTCTATGCAGGATAAATGGCCTACTTCAGTGAAAGACTGAAACAAACGTCTATTTTCTGTTTTGCTGTGCGACTTTTGCTCTTCTTATACAAAATAGCCTACAGCAAAATCGGTCGAACCACATATTAGTCGTTTAAATCTCACGCCCTTTGCAAAAATGTTTTTTTTCTTTCAATTCAATTTAAAAATAAAATAATTGTGGTAACTTCGATGTTAACCGGAGTTCAGAGGTCATGATACAGTAGACCTGCACATATGTGTGTGTGTGTGTGTTGAACAGATGTCTCTCTCTCTCTCTCTCTCTCTCTCTCTCTCTCTCTCTCTCTCTCTCTCTCTCTCTCTCTCTCTCTCTCTCTCTCTCTCTCTCTCTCTCTCTCTCTCTCTCTCTCTCTCTCTCTCTCTCTCTCTCTCTCTCTCTCTCTCTCTCTCTCTCTCTCTCTTCGCATTCTTTCCCACACGTATATGTGCAGAAATCCCGTGAAGAACCTGTTCTCATAATAAGCGCGTTAACACGGACCATCGAGCACCGACAAAACGCACCGACCGAGAGAGAGAGAGGGAAGGAGAGGGGGGCTTTAATTGTTTGCTTGTTGGTTGTTGAGAGAACATATAATATCTCTTCAGAAATGCACAGAGAAAACTTTTAATATCATGGAATTACATACATAGCAATTAAGGCCAATCATGAGAAATCAAAGTCCATTTTGCATTACAAGAACACTTCTCACTGTTTCATGAGCTTTAACAATGTCATCCTCACTTTACTGCACATTGTTGACATTATTGCGATATTTTGGACCTGCTTTTATGACACTTTGTCTGAATAGGGCCTGTCAGTCAGTCAGTGTGTGTGTGTGTGTGTGGATTATTAAACAGGTTAGGCAGCTGTGTGAAGACTGTACGAATTTACACAACCTTGAGTTTACATGCTGTAGTCACACTTTGGATACAAATGTGTCTCCATGAAGCAAGCTAAAGCTTGAATCTCTCTGTCAAGTATTTTTAACGATGTCCTCTTTTCGGGAAAAACATAAATAAATACATTTAAAAAAAAATGTTTCTTTAAACGTTTAAGTTTTATCTTAGGTTTAATAGTTGGTCTGTATGTTCATGAATCGCTCTAGAATATGAAGTAGCAGTGTGTCTTTAATCAGAAGCCATGTAAATGTGTGTCCGTGTGTATTTGTGTGTATGTGTGTGTTTAGATTGACAGTTTCCTCTTGTTATCCTCTGAAGAGGGAGTGTTTCGTCCTGAGGACATGCTGCACGCGGAAGTTATTCGCTGTCTGTCATCATGAGAGTGTGTGAGAAGTTTGTGAGATGACAGAAACGAGTTAGTAACAAGAAACTCTCTGATCGTATTTATAATGCAAATATAACATGACTTTAAATGTCAAAAAGGAGACATAAGGCTGCTCTTTTCCATACACTCTTAAAATTAAAGGTTCAACAAGAGGGGTTTTACATCAATAGAAGAACCATTTTTGGTTCCCTAAAGAACCTTTCAGTGATCAAAATAAAAATTAAAAAACTTAGTGTGAAGAACATCTTAATAATCTGAAGAACCATTTGCGCATTGGAAAGTTTTTATGGATGTTAAAGGCTCATACGCCATGTAAGAATCTTTATTTTTAAGAGTGTAAGATAAATATTTGAGTATATGAGACACAAATGGGGAAGATTTCATGAATAACGTCTTGCATTTGGTCTGTTCCACACACAAAGCCATTTTATTACTTTGGAAGTCTTTGTTGATGGGCTTTTTGGAGCTGGATAGTGTCTGTCCTCCTCTTTCAGTCTTTGTTTGGAAAAGAGCAGATGCTGAAATCTCCTTCTGGTTTTGATAAACATGCGGATGAGTAATCGAATTTTATTTATCTGGCTAAACTAACACTATAAGTACAGTGTTATTTTAGTATCATTTAGATATTAGTTTTTATATATATTTGAATTAATTTTTATTTGTACATTTTCTGTTTTCATTTTAATCTTAGTTAAAGTTGTTGTCTTTTTTGGCAACTAGCTGAAATATAATGTAAAAAAAAAAAAAAAAAATGTATTTCAGTTAATGTTCAATAAATGTCTTTTAAAAATTGTTTTATTTCAGTTAAAGTTTATTTTATTCCAAGTAACAAAAATGTGTTTTTTTATGGTTTTAGTTATCAACATTGAAAAAAAAAGTATTTAATTTAATTTTTGCAAGTTTTTGCACGCATATTTGTTACGTAATTTCACACATGGAAATGAGTAACGTGAACAAAGATAATAAGTGACTTTAACTTTTTGTTGTTTTTTAATTCTTGCCTGCAACTAACTTATTCAGGTGAATTACATTTGTTTTTTTCTGTAGTATACTTCACCAAAGAATAATTTTTTTGAACCAGTGTATAACAACGCAGGTACATTAGATCAGATGAGAAGTGTTGCTGCTGGTGTTCCTGCTGTCTGTCTCGCTCTGATCATCACTAGAAGGCCGAAGACGATCCTTCATTAGAGCTCAGACCTGCAGATTTCCCAGAGGAATCCGTCTCTCTCTCTATTAGGTTGATTTGTCGTACGCTAAACACACTCTGCATTGTTTTTAATCAACCTCTTGTCCATCAGCAGACGTGATAATTTATGGCAAATCGACAGAAAAGACGGAGACGGATTTTGCGAGCATTCCGGAGTCCTCGAGGTCGCAGAGGTCAGGCATCATCATCGTGTGTCTTCCTGAGTGAATTCTGGGTAATGTAATTAGTGTGGCGGAGAGGTCTAGACTCTAATCGTCTAAGTTCATTTATGTACATGTAAATTTACATGATGATATTGCATGATTACAGAGATAACGAGGAAAATGGTTTTGTCTGATATATATATATATATATAGGCCTATCACTGCTAACTTAGCAGAAATAATTTGAATTTGATTTGTGATTTTTCTTTCCCTGCGTGCATATAAACAACCATGAGCATAGTACAAATGTCCTACGTTTTTGGCATTTTTACAGTATTTTTGGTAAACGGTAAACAGCACACAAGTCTCTGAATAGTGGTCGGCTGATCCTGAGTGAATCCAGGAGAGAAAAAGACAGATCCCCAGGGAATCATAGAGATGACAGGTTGAATTATGGGTCAGCCGAGACAATCACATCCCCCATCATAACATGATCATCTAAATCAGAAGCCCTGATAGCACTTTGAGTCAACAACTGCCTGCGTCCTTCCACGACGCTAAAGTATGTGTGTTCACATGGCTTGTGGAAGTTTATTATTATAGGTTTGTGTGTGATTTTGTACATGAGGCTGTAGCGTATCATATGTGCTCTGGTTTAATCAAATGCTCTCTCACCAGCCTCTTATTGACAATCATTCTGTGGGTGTTGTAAGCAGTTGCTGTCCAAGGTTAAATGAAATTGCAGTACGTCAGATTTTCTTTGTGAACTGAGCAAAAGTGAAAGATGGATAGATGGGTAGAGAGAGAGGGAATGGCAATAGATAGAGAAAGTGAATCTTCCTCCAGCCAGTGATGGATGTGAACGCTGATCAACACAAGAGCGCCATTAAGTCGTTCATCAAAGGCATAATTTAAACGCCACATCTGCAGTTTGCAAAAGAG